CGGCAGCGTCCCCCGCCCGCTGCCCGTCAGCCTCCTGCTCCGCGGTGTCCCCTCAGCCCCGGTTCCTGTCCCACTCCGCCTCCTCCCCTCCCCCACACAACCGTCCCCAGCGTCCCGCTGCGCCCCATCCTCTGCTGCCTCCGCCCGGGCTCCCGAGACTGTCCCAGACCCGGGCGATTGCTAGCCCTCACCTGCCATGTCCCAGACCCCACCGCAGAGGGAGGTGCATCACGGCCGCGAGAAGGCCGGAGACGGCACTTCAGAGCAGACAAAGGGCGCCGCCATGTTAGAGTCGGGCGGAACCGACCTCGCTGGCTTCCCTACTGCAACTTCCGGCGCATGCGCAGCACCCGTGCTTGCTGTGCGACCGCGGACGGGCGCATGCGCCTAGCTGTCCAAAAGTTGTACCGTATAGCACTTCAGCGCTTGGAATTGTCCTCGTTGTAACCCTGCCTCGGTCTTCTGTTCTGCATGTTAACAGTAACAGCTTACGTGTGTTCAGCCCTCACTGCGTGCCAGACCCTGTGCAAAGCGCTTTACGTGCATTTTTTTTACTACATTCTCACATCAGCCATAAGATAGTATTATATCTTTCCCCATTTCTAGGAAGGAGAAACAGGCTCAGAAAAGGTGCATGAATTGTTTATAGTCAAACATTTTTTAAGTGGTAGAGCAGAGATGTGAACCTAGTTGTAGCTCTAAAGCTGTGGATCCCAGTTACGTTTTGGTCTATATTCTAAACCAACCACTACCTGCTTTCCTATTTAGAGGAATCCAGAATTAGCCTGGGTGTGAACGAGGGCGTCTGAAACAAGTGTCTTCCGATTTACATAGCTTCTCTCTCCGCATTTTAACCTTTAAATCCTTGACTTACCTATTTCCTTATGGTTCATGGGGTTTCTCCTTTATTTCTGGTCCCGTTTGTCATGATCTATCATTTTCTTTTTCTTCCTTCCTTCTTTCTCTCTTTTTTTTTCTCTCTCTCCCTTCCTTCCTTCCTTAGTTCCTTTTTTTTTTTTTTTATTTCTTGTTGCAATTTTGCTATGTCATGATCCTCTGGCCTCAGGGCTACAAGTGTGTGCCACAGTCATAAACGTTTTGGTGCTCTGTCTTTTTGACACATGTATTTGCTAAGAATTGCAACTCTGGGTGAATCCATCTGCCCCTTTTCTGTTTGTGTGCCCAAACACAGCTGGAAAATACACATATGGGCAAACTGTTTCCTCCACGTTCATGACCATTAGTTTCAAGTGAGACTTTGACCCACGTCAGCCTGGCTACCTCACTGTTCCTGGCCTCTGTAATGACTAGAGAAACTAAAATAATCAGCAGTTAACTTTACCTATTCTTTAAAAAAAAATTTTGTTTTTGTTTTTTTTGTTTTTTTTTTTTGGCTATAGGACGCATGCGCTCCCCAGACAGAGAGAGAGAGACACGGAGAGACAGAAAGCGAGAAATCACCCCTCAGGGGGGATGGCCATGCCACAATCCCTTCTCCATTCTCCTCTTGGGATCTTGGACACGCATGCACACGCGCCCAGCGTGAGTTTAAGCCACCGGGTCCGGGACTCGAAACGCGGTCGACTTCGTGGGAGTCCAGCAACATAGCCTTTACGCTAACTGCTGGTCCCCTAAAAAAATGTGTTTTATTGTGGTAAGAACACGACATGAGATTGATCCTGCTAACAAATTTTGGAAGGCCTAGCCAAAGCATTTAGGCAAGAGAAAGAAATAAAAGTCATTCGAATCAGAAATGAGGAGTCAAATTGTTGCCATTTTCAGATGATATGATCTTATATATAGAAAACTCTATAAAGATTACACACACACACAATTAGAACTGATAAATGAATTCTGTAAAGTTGTAGATACAAACCAACATGTGAAAATTAGTAGTTTGCTTTTTTTTTTGTCTGTTTGTTTAGAATTATTTATTTATGGGACCAGCAGATAATGTAATAGTTACATTGCTGGACTCCCATGTAGTCAACCACAGTTCAAGTCTCAGACCCAGTGACTTAAAACTTACACTGGGCTTATGTGCATGCATGTCCACAATCCCAAGAGGATAATGAAAGAGAAGGAATTACTGCATGGTCATCCCCATGGGGGGTGATTTCTTGCTTTCTGTTTCTCTGTCTCTGGGGCAACTGCATGCACCCTATAGCAAAAATCTCTCTAAAATAAAAAAAAGAAATTATTTTATTTTATTTCTTATTATTATAAGCCATCAGGTCCAGGACTCAAACAATAGCAGTCAGCCATGTGGGAGTTCAGCACCTTAACCTCCATGGCACCTGCTGGCCCCTGGTAGTGCTTTTTAATGCCAGCTGAAAAAGAAATTTAAAAAGAAAAGCTATTGCTGCCAACAGGGAGAGTTAAGGCAGCTGGGTCCCTCATGGCCTACTGCATGGTTTGAGTCTCACACCAGGTGTCTTGAAAACCATGCATGGCTCATGTGCATCTTCTCCTGAAAGGAGAATGGAGAAGGGATTGTGGCACGGTTATCCCACTGGGGTGGTGGTGATTTCTTTCTCTCTTTGGCAAGTACACCTATAGCATACTACAAAGAAGAAAAGAAGAAAAGAAAAGAGGAGAAAAGAGAAAAGGAAAAAAAGAAAAGAAAAGAAAAGAGGGAACCAGCAGTTAGCGTAATGGCTATGTCGCTGGACTCCCACGTAGTCGACCGCGGTTCGCGTCCCGGACCCGGTGGCTTAAAACTCACACCAGGCGCGTGTGCGTGCGTGCCCAAGATCCCGAGAGGAGAATGGAGGAGAAGGGATTGCGGCGTGGCCATCCCCCCTGGGGGGTGATTTCTCGCTTTCTGTCTCTCTGTCTCTCTCTGTCTGTCTGGCGAGCGCACGCACCCTATAGCGAAAAACCTCTCCAAAAAAAAAAAAAAAGAAGAAGAAGAAAAGAAAAAAGAAAAGAAAAGAGAAAAAAGAAATTGCAGAAGATACACTCGAAAAAATGGGAAAGCATTCCCTGTTTCTGTGTTACAGAACAAACGTCGTCGGGGTCGGCAGGTGACGTGGTGGTTAAGGATGCTGGACTCCCACACGGCCAACCGCAGCTCATGTCCTTGTCCTGATGGCTTGCTCTCTTGCTTTCCTTCTCTCTCTCATGCACTGTCCCTCTCTGGTCAAATTGAAATTAATTAATTAATTAATTAATTAGATCAAATAAAATAATTACTTTAAAAAATCGATATTGTTAAAATATCTATGCTACCAGGACCAGCAGATGGTGTAATAGCTATGTTGCTGGACTCCCATGTAGTCGACCACAGTTAGAGTCCCAGACCCAGTGGCTTAAACTCATGCCGGGTGCGTGTGCGAGCGTGCCCAAGATCCTGAGAGGAGAACGGAGGAGAAGGGACTACGGCGTGGCCATCTCCCCCTGGAGGGTGATTTCTCACTTTCTGTCTCTCTGTCCTTCTGGTGAGTGCATGCGCCCTATAGCAAAAACCTCTCAAACACAAACAAACAAACAAACAAAATTACCCTGCAAAAAGTATGAATGAACATTAATCTACAATTCAATATCTATCGAAATATCAATGATATTCTTCACAGAAATATAAAAATAATAATAAAATATGTATGAAATTATAAAATACCCCAAATAGCCAAAGTAATCTTGAGCAAAAACAAAACAAAACAAAAAAAAAAACAAAAACAAAAAAGAAAGGAAGGAAGGAAGGAAAAAAGATAGGAAGAAAGAAGAAAGAAAGAAAAAGTATGGGGTGGAGGCATCATACCACCAGATTTCAAAATATACTATAAAGCCATAGCAACAAAACAGCATGGTGTTGGCAAAATAAATAAATGAATCAAACTCCATACACATGGACCAATAGAACAGAACCGAGAACTCAGAAACAGCTGATTTTTCACTAAAGTCCTATCAACATCCACTGGGAAAACGTTTTGTCAATAAATGGTACTAGACAGATGACATAATAGTTATGTCGTTGGACTCCCACTTAGTCAACCGCGGTTTGAGTCCTGGACCTAGCGATTTAAAACTCATGCCAGGCATGTGTGGATGCATGCCCCAAGTCCTGAGTGATGGCTCTATGGCCATGCCCACTGGGGCTGGGGGGCGGGGGTGGTGATTCCTTGCTTTCTGTCTCTTTGTCTCTCTGGCAAGTGCACACACTTACGGCAAAAATTCCTTGTAAAAAAATAATAAGTGGTGCTGGGAAAATTAGACATTTAAATGCAGAAGAATTAAACTAGGTCCACATCTTTCAACATGGCAAAGAGTTCTTGAATAAAACCTCAAAAGCCTCGGTAAAAAAGTAAAAACAATGAGACTGGCGGGTGATGGAGTGGTTGGGGCACTGGACTCCCATATGGCCGGCTGCAGTTTGAGTCCCAGACCTGGTGGCTTGCTTTCTCACTTTCCTTTTCTCTCTGTCTCTTTCTGGTCAAATTAATAATAATAATAATAATAATACATCAATAAATACAATCAAATAAATAATTCTTATTTTTTTTAAAAAGGGTAAAAATAAAACCAGCTGATGGCGTGGAAGTTAAGGCAGCTGGGTCTCACATAGTCAACTCTGCAGTTTGAGTCCCAGCCCTGGTGGCTTGAAAATCACACTGGGTGTTTGTGCATGCATGCCCGAAGTCCCAAGAAGAGAATGGAAAAAAAGGGACCGTGGCATGACCATTCCCCCCGGAGAGTGATTTTGCATTTTCTCATTCCCTCTCTCTCTCTCTCTCTCTATTTCTGTCACTCTCTGGTGAATGCACTTGTCCTATAGCAATAACTTTAAAAAAGTAAAAATAGGCAAAAGGGATTTTACCAAATGAAAAAGCTTCAATGCAGCAAAGGAAATAATTGACAGGGTGAAGAGACATCTGTAGAATGGGAGAAAATATTTGCATACTGTTCATCTGACAAGGATTAGTAATCTGAACATAGAAGGAACTCAAACAACTCAGCAGCAAAAAAATCCCAAATACACTAATTTTAAAATGGGCAAATGGACCAGCAGATGGCGTGGAGATTAAGGTGGCTGGATCCCACATAGCCAGTTGTGTGGCTCAAATCCAAGACCTGGCGGCTTGAAAAATACTGGTCACGTACGTGGATGTTCAAAAACCCTAGAGGAGAATGGAGGAGAAAGGATTGCAGCATGGCCATCCTACCTGGGGAACGCTTTCTCCCTTTCTCTCTCTCTCTCTCTCTTTCTGTCTCCAGTGAGTACATGCAACATATAGCAAAGATTTTTTTTTTTAAGGGCAAATGACCTGAATAAACAATTCCAAAAGAAGACATACCAATAGCCCACAAAATTAAAAA